AGGTAATGACATGATTTCGAGTGTAATTTGGTGTAAATAAGCACAGAAACAAAAATTGCTCAAACCCGCGAGTCGAGCGCAATTTATAGTCTTGAAAATTTACATTTCTTGAAATCGGGAGTCTCAGCTGTTTCGTCATCCATTCAAAAATTAATCATCTAAAAATTCGGTGACGAGAAAATGCTACCTTTGTAGGAAATTGGGCTTCGCTCATAAGTTAAGATAGATAATAATTATATATTGTAACGTCCGGTTATAACTTTAGCATCTGTAGTTTCCTTTACTTTTAGTGCCTGTTAAACTTTTTTCAGGAAAAAGAGAGCTACAATTGAGCGGGAACGGATTTTCACTTAACTTTTTCAGACATACTTCAATTTTAATTTGTAAAAGAGATTGTACAATAAACTGCGGCATTACACATACCTGGTTAAAACTACTCGTTGTTTATAAAAGAAAGTCGCATTGGTCTTCTCTTGAGGTGTGAGGCACAGATCAGGTTGCCAACGGTCAACTGAACCTGAAAGGTTGTTTAGGGGGAATAACATCACACCACAGACGACCTCGTAGCAGATTATGAGCCATTGTCCTCCTTAAATTGGTACATCTTTGTTGGATCAGTGGGATACTATTGGAAACTGTTATTATTATTCTCAAACTAGACTTTGCAATGTTTTACGGCCAATTGGAGCTAAAATGATGTTCAGGGAGGAATTATGTTACACCACGAACAAATCTCTTGCAGATAATTAGCCACTATCCTTAATTCCTTACGGTGGTGCATCTTTGTTGGATCAGTGGGATGCTATGGTATTCAGTTAAGTTTTTCTCCCACTGGGCGCTGTTGTGTTTAATGGCCAACAGGAGCTGAATTGATGTCTTTATGAATCATTTAGTAACGTTAAGCTTCCGCGGTATTTTTAGAACAATTTGAACACAAACACCTCAGAGATTAATCTTTATTTTCCGATGTTCAGGTGTCCAATTCAATATTTCTTTCTTTGTCAAGTAGCATCGATCTATCAACGACTGTTTTCAGTAGAAACGTAACTATTTAGGTCACAAGGAGTACATCCAAAATAAAGACTGTAATACGAATACGAGGCGAGAGCTATCGCAATTGAGACTATCTTAAGTCTGGGTGTGTTAATATGGTGACACTTACAGACCGATGTAGCTTATGTTGTAAGTTTGTCGTTCTATTTGATACTCGCGTGTGCTTAGCGCCTTCTGAAGGACAAAAGATGTTTTCGAACTGAAAGTCATTCTAATTGCAACGGCAGGGTCGGCGTATTTTGTGTTGAAAATCTCTCGAATAAATCTCATTAATGTTTTATCATTTCAATGCTATTTTAGACGAATGGATTGAAAACTTTTTGAAATGGTTCCAATTTCATTTCTTTCTGTCGGTTTTGCTACAAGAGTAACTTTAATTTCAGAAAACATCTGAGGTGATAGAATTTTTAAAAAAATTTGCCATTTTACACAAGAAATTATCGTGCATTTCAACAACTGCAATTTTGAATAAACGAACTCAGTCCCTAGCTTCATGAATAAATTAGTTCACTAGGATATCACAAAACTGTTTAAAGATAAAATCCACGATGTTCGATATATTTTTCAAAGTTTTGAAGAATCTATTTATATTTTAATTTCACGGTGGTCATTGTAATCTTGTAACATTTATCCATCGTTGTTCGATGAAATACTCCAGTGAACTCATCAATTGTTACAAAGGAAGAGTTCCGGAGATGGATATTTTACCAGCGATAAATCCTTTATCGCGTTGTACCGAAGTTTAAATAATTTTTTTCCCAAAGACGATACTTATTAGGAGTATTTGGTGATAATAGTGTTGTCTGATATTTTCAAACTAATAAAATGGTTCTGGTCATTAAGGGGTTGGCGTGATTGCAACATTTATTGTTATGACCACCCTGCGCAAGATGATATAGCGTGCAATGCAGGAGGATCGTATGATATGTTCGCACAAAAATAAACAAAATGAGAGAAGGCGAATACAATAAATGTAAACCTTCCACTATTCGACTGACAACAACTTTTCACTTGACTCCGAAGATGACTTCCGCTCAGGTTGTCGAAACGTCAGTCACCACTACCGACAACAGTCCTTCTCAGGACTACGCTCACTCGGACGATCAAATTACACTATTGTATGACTGAGAATGACAAGCAACTTTCGAAAATATTCAAACAAGATATTTATGAGGGTCAAGGATAATTTGCACATTAACTTAACTCCCGCAAAAAATTACTACCATTAAATTTTAGACTGGATTTCATTCAGGAGAAATCATAACCTTATCATCTCGCTTCTGTGTCGCAATTAAACGACTTTCGTCTCTCAGATCTGACACCTGTCAATAAGCTAGTTTCGAATTGTTTGTGAAAGAAAGTCTGGTGACTAGTTTTTAGCACCAAGTCGAGGCTGGGAGGAATGGGAGTCGTCTCAACATCACAGATTATGATGCGTAAACCTGGAAGTTCCAGAGCTACAGAAGTTTTCAAAGGGAAGAGATATTTAAATTTTTTTAAACGGTAAGAGGGCGGAAAAGGGCAGAACTTCTAGAGCTTTGTTAAACAGTTTAACGCGACGAGTTGATTAATTCCAAGATAACATTTCCAGGAGGAAAATTACTTCCTCATCCACTTTCGGGTAAGTTTGGACTCAGGAATTCACCGGTATTCCAGACATTCTGCTTGGAAAGATGGCTACGATGAAGATGGTCGTAGAAAAGCTTTGAGGGTTTTCACTCATTTGTAGACGGGCATGTAGAGGATCTGAAGAACAGACTGGAGACTGGAGACTGCTATTTCCAGTTCAAAGTAAAACCAACGAAAAGGTCTTAAACTGAAGATGGAAAAGACTTCTACCGGGGTTCTATCGTGCTTAAAAATATTGGAAGCATTTAGTCTGCTTACTATGCTTACAAAGGCGGGTAAGTCACAAGTGTGTGCTTTTTTTCCTTTTCTTTACAAGCGAAAGAACCGATGGTTTCCAATTTATTTTTAAATTACATCGGGTTTCTTTGCGAATGAGCTGACTGTCGATCCAAGGTATAAGAGACCAGTGCCCTTGCAGCTCATTCGATAGTTTTAGTTCATTGTCGTAATATGCTATTCAAACTGCTTGATAACCTTGCTCAAACATGATCATCAAACATGTCTTTTACAGTATGAACAACTTCAGCATGAAAGTGGCACAGAGTTTAAAACATTGTACCAGGTTGCGAAGTTGTCGATAGGAAAATCATGTTAACTGTGAAATGAAGCCTTCAATAAAATACCTTTTAGACCCTATGCCTTAGTTCGTTCCCATATTTTTACCCTCGCTTGGGCTCTGCCCACGATATCCACAGGGTGGATGAAGTGTTACAAACTTTAAGGTTTCGCGTAAAATATACTGGCACTAAATGTTTCTCTTTTCTTGATCCCAAACGAATCTTTGCTTTGGGAAAGGACCCGTAGATGTCCCTGAATTCCAAATGAAGCGGAACTTATGATTTTTTAGTAATTAAGTATTTTATGTTATATCATAAATTTAACCTATTACAGATTTGTGGGCAAAGTTTGAAAGAAACCGATTTTTTGAACCGAAATGCATCGGATCGCTTTAAGAGGGCATGCGTCGTAAATATGGGCCTTTGAGAACTGAAGCGAATTCCGCTCTGCCAACAAATTATTTTTTAAACTGTGGATGAACTAAGGTGGTTTCGATTAATTTTAGACTTAGAGAGATTCATGAGGAAAGTTTGAGAGAAATCGATTTTCGAACTAAAATTCACCGGACCGCGATAGAGAGAGTGCATCTTAACACCTGGGAACAACACTATGGCCGCAAAATTTTCAAAACATCTGGCGACATTTGACGCCTTTTGCATTGCAGGATACCGTTAAAGATTCGTTAGAAGTACTGCGTGACCAATCCCTGCGAAAGTCGTGGAAATCCAGATGGCCCTAATTATCAGAGATGAAAGCCACCGGGGTAAACTGCACGGAATATTATTTGTTGAATAGAAATTGTAACTTGATTTTGGGCCCTGAAATGATCAGGAAATAATCTTAAAGTGAATGAAACCTGATTTAACCCTTAAACTCCCGGTAGTGATTAACATGAAACTTCTCCTAATAATTTATCCATACATTATTCGGCAAACAGGTAATGAGAATATTAAAACTTATCAGGGAGAAGCTGCTATCTTGATCTAGCACCAAGTACTCGTAACTAATTTACAAGGAAATGTGAATTAACAATCAGATCTTGGGAGTTAAATGGTTAACCCCTTATTAGGGTATTACTTCTGTAATTGAATACTTTGTTACAAGACATTCGTTTGACATGGAAGCGGCAGTTTGTTTTATGAGAAAGAAGAGAAACACTAAAGACTATTACAGCATCATACGCTTCATCCACAAAACCTGCTGCGGCTAGCGAAAAAATTAAACTTTCGAGAGTCGACAAAGTGATGCAGAAGTTCAGTAAATGGCTTACAGAAATCTTCCTGCATGCTCGTCAGTACCCGCCATATGACTACGGCACAGCAATATTAGGAGCTAATTGAGTACTGCTGACCCGTTGTTTTTAAAGTCAGTAGAGTTTCAATGGCCGGAGTAATGGCCTTTACGGCGAATGGTTAAAACTTTGGATGATTTATAACTAACGGTTAACTTCTTTCCGTTACGGTTAAGAGGAAAAAATTTAGATTTCACATTTTTTATGACTATCTAATAAAATTTGTTAAATTTTACGCCTAACAGCAAAAACTTTTCACCGTTTTACGACGAACGGTTAATCCCAATGAGATCCTCCTTAAAGTTATTTTTGTTCTTTCCCTGTGATTTTATTAAGTAAAAATATTTGAAGTGAAAGTATTGCTTAAAGTGCTGCTTATAACCATATTTTCTTATCACTTCGATAGAGAAAAAAGCTTGACTCAATTATCTGTCAGATAACTTCAACTTTAAATCCTTTTGGTCGCTAGTTATTGTGAAGATAACTCAATAATTTTGACGAGTCCGTTATCATTGGGGTTACCGCCAGTTACACCCCGACAACTCTGACCACGGCAAAATAAACCCCCTCCCCCTCCAGCCTGGTTAGAGCGAGTACCGCTACCTCCCCCAGAGTACCCGCCACCTCCTCCTGATGCACCATTATCCTCTGATCCTCCACCTCCACCACCAAAACCTCCTACTGCTCCTGGTGCTGGTCCGCCGTTATTTCCACAGTTCATGCCACCGGCTTGACCACCAGTCCAGCCTTCAGCACGTGACCCACCTCGTTCTCCGTGGTGAGTGCTTGATCGAGTACAACCAGAGCCATGCCAACCAGCACCTACACCCCCATGAAAGGCACCACCTGCTCTGTTACATTCACCTGGCTGCCCTCCAGTGCCTCCCTTCCTAACCTGTGATGGTTCTTTTCCCACACTACTGGTTCCACTTGTTCTCGTCTGACCATTCGTTCCGTTGTAACCACCCGACGCACCACCTCCTCCTCCGGCAGCTAATAACAGGGTATTACTTGTGGTATAGACAAAACTACCACCCCCTCCTCCGGTTCCAGCATTGTCTTCTACAGACAGTCCCAGCTGAGCTGCTGTTAAGGATGTGGATCGACCACCCTTAACCTCCACTGAATTTCCACCACGCTGTCCAACCACAATATTCAGCACTGTTCCTTTATTCAATCTGAACTTTCCTTCTATGGATGCTCCCCTACCACCATAGTATGTTCCAGGTCTATATCCATAACTGTATGAATGCGTCCCACCACGAGCTCCCCAGGCCTCTATTTGGTAAAGGGTCGTACGCGGAACAGTGAAGGTCTGAATAACGCCATACCTTCCACTTCGTCCACTTGTTGTAAACTCCCAAGAAACTATAATGAAAACACGCATGTGTCATTTATAACCTTAGGATCCTTTCAAATCTTATCCAGCAGTAAAGAGTATTTTTACCTTCTTTACTATTGTAGGAAAATAAGCTAAATCTTTCAGTTGTTGAAAGAGAAACATTTTGTTGTACGTTAAGAGGAAGAGAAAAATCTTACTAAACATTTTTGCTTTATATGTCCTTGTTTCTAACCAGAGCAACGTTTTATTGCGGGTCATTATGAACAACCTGAATAATTATCCATTTTTAAAACGCGAGGGAAAAAACTTGTCTTTACTTTATTCCTGAAAGTCACAGAAATAGCTACAATGTGTTTTCCAATCAACTTAACGTTTCAGTTAATTGAAGATGGCATCGTTTAAAATGATAATATGATTTTCTTACGAGAGCATTTTTCCCCGTCTCCTTCAAATCCAGTCTTACAAATGCACTCGTGAGATCCCTCAGTATTTTGACAAGCAGCATTGACATCACACCGGTGGGACTTGACTGTGCACTCGTTTATATCTTAGAAAGCAAATGATATTCCGCTAAAAAATTATACTCCACACTGACTTTGTTTATCGTTACACCTTGTCATTAAGTGGCGATAACTTGTGGGCGACAAAATACGCACCCTGATTACACGTGGCTGAGCGGGTCTGGAAAAGGTAATCTCAACGAACCAGTAACTCCCAAGTAATTGCCCACAGATTGCCCAAAGATTGCCTATGGATAGCCGACGGATTGCCCACAGACTGCCCATAGATTGCCCTCGGATTGCCACGGAGTGCCCACGGAGTCTCTTTGGATTGCCTACGTCGTATCTTCGGATTATATACGGATTAATTAACCGGGAAATGCTCACCGATTGCCGACGGATTTCCTACGGATTGCTCAAGGGCTTCAATTCATTTTTAAAGCAAGAAATTCATTTAACGACAGTGCAGTGCTTTTAAAAGATGATCATAAAATTTACTTAAACTAGATAATTTTCCCCGTCTCCATTAAATCCGGCCTTACAAACGCCTTTGTGATATCCTTAAGTATTTTGGCATAAAGCATTGACATTACACCAATGAGTCTCGTTTATATCTTTAAAAGCAAACATATTCCAGTTAAGAAAATCTAGTATGCGGCACAAATATCACAGGATTCATTAAAATGACAGTCCTCGCTGAGTATTTTTTTACGATTATTCTCTCCCCCACCTAGTGCCCAGATTTTAGGGTACTAAAATGGCTGGGTGAAGTCAAATCGAGTGCTAATTTTTTACCTTTAAAACAAGTGAATTTGAAACAGTCATCACATGAAACGACACTCCAAGTGTATCCATTGTTTGAGCCAAGAGTGTGTACACAGTCCTGATCTGTGTTATTGTTTGGTTGGTTTGCCGCCCAGAATCTAAAGCTACTTATGCCTTTCTTTGCCCACACGAATGATCCTTCTACGCTTCGATAATTGAGCCCAATCCAGGATCCCTCTCCATTATGCTGATGTTGAAGGTGGACATTCTCCTCTTGATTATGGACTGTCACAAGATTTGAGTGCATTTTAGAACATTTTGTTTCAGCATTTGGCCAAGTGGTGCAAGCGGAGCTTATGAAATAACAATAACCATTGAAATAATCCCATCCAGGCTGGCATAGATCTACATGAGAAATGAATAATTTATTTAGAGCGATGTTAACACACACGAAGAAAAGTACAGTCAAAGGAGATTAACATTCGTGTGTTGTGTCAACATACGATAACTTAACCGATTTTCTGCATCAGTCACTCTTCATAGTCTACTTCCGTAGGGGTACACATAAAGCATCGACTCGATTTAATGATCTAAATCAAAGCGATATAATGACGGAAAGCATAGAGATTAAAGCTACTGTTTCTTGACGGAGGACAGTGAGACAGGGAATGCGTATATCTGGGGTATAATAGACTGCAATTTCCTTGTAAAGCCATGAGAAATGAGGTAAATTAGCATATCCCAGCCAATGAATGACTGCCTCCCTCTGTTGTCTATTTTTCTTCTATTAAAACATTTGTGAACTTCCAAAAATTTATTGGAAGGATATTTTAGGCGAGAGGGGTAAGAGAAGACTTTGATTTTGTGGAGAATGATGTTTGGTCCTGATTCAACAGTACATTACTTTGTGACGGTGTTAAGCAACCTCAGTATTTACCTGACATGACCGTGTAGATAATTGAAAGAGGATCATATTTTGTTTCGTACAATTCTTTAAAACAAACGCGAAAGCCATTCCTGTTGATATACTGAAGAAAAGAAAGAAGTTTTCATGTATTTATTTACTGAATGGAGAGGGCCAGACGGGAAAATAGCTTGTACTAGACAATGCCGGGCGCTTCACATCATAAATGGAATTATTTGCCACGACACTAAACTTCTTGATGGCGCCTTGAAAATAAGCTTGAATCAGTATGATAAACAGATATAACATATTTCATTAGGCTTTTTCAGACAGAAAATATTGTCTAGAATCTAACTTACCTCTACCCAAGGGGTTATGCCATTGTGAACAGGACTCAAGTTCCCTTGTTTCGTTGAGTGATCAGCAGAGACAATTACGTTTGGGACTGAGGTAGGCGTGGAAGAAGTTAACATCCTGAAAGAGGAAGAATAGAGAGCGTAAACACGTGAATCAGTACCTATCTTCGAACACGCGCCTGGCTTCGAATTAGTGGTAAGGTAGAACGGAAAATGTCTAGTATGTACGCCAAGGAGCAATGATCATCGGTCAGTCACTAATAGGCCTTTATCAAATCAAATAACACACACAAACGCTTGAAATAGTCAGTAAAATAGCTAAACCTGCAATGACAACTGACCTTGCAGAAGGCATTATTTTGATCGTCTGGGGGAGCTCTGTTGTTGATAAAGTGAATCACATTGTGTTCTGAGAAGGGGGGCTTGTGAAGATTCATGAACGCCAACCAGTTCTGATAAGAATACGAACACATGAAAATTTCAAGATATTGTTAAGCGTGATGGCTAAGTCGAAATAGGACGAGAAGTTCACACAAATGTTTTTATAGTTCCGTATGTTTGGATCTTTGTTTATCTTTGAGCACTTTTTCCCTTACAATGTTCACCCAAAATTCCAGTTTAAAAACATTTCCAGCTGTGTTTCGTTACATCTGGTAGTATCGTGCCAAGATCGAACTTAGTTACGAGAATTGTACGTTCTTTAACACATTGTTGTCAGCATTTGGTGTCAGGGATCTGTTTAAACAGTACTTTAACCTTGACGCCATATGTGAATAGCTTTGGGCATGCTGAAGACGGAGCGCTTAACTGCATGCATACACGCGATTAATCATAACAGCCGAGATTATTGCGTCAAAAATGAATGAAAATAAATACCAAATCAAAGGGAGAAAAAAGATTCTAATTGTAATACGACGATAGGCCTGTGAACTACATACTCACAACAGAAATATCCTTGTGGGATCCTGCGTACTTCTGGAGCTCCCTCAGGCAAACTTTGCACGAGGACTGCGTGACATCCTCAATCCATATACTAGCTGCGTCACGCTTCAGTCCTGAATGATGGTGCTTGGCAATTACAAATACTGAGGGTGCACTCGGAAATTTCTTCTTCCAATAAGAGAAAAATGTCCAGGGGTTAGAAATATCCAGGTTCAACCCCGCCCTGGTTACCGTGTAATGTTCTTTTTCAAAGAAAGCTTATTCTTACAGTACCTCTGACCCAATTAATACTAATGAGGACCTGCGCACTAGCAGCAGTGGCATTTTAGAAATTGAGGAATATGCATAAAAAGTAAGGGACTGTTATGGACAAAGAGGAATAGCTTTTTACGCGATAGAGACCGCCAAACGCTCCGTCATTAATGGCCAATCAAGCTCCTGGGACTCGATCTTATCCTGGTACTTGAGCATCCTACACAGAAATAAATTTCAGTTTTGTTTACGTTTTACCACTCTGACAATTATTTCCCACCGATATGGGTGAAACTTCACCATCAAGTTAGGAAGGGATCCATTTGAAGTCTTCTCAAAGACAATTAACGACACTGAGTTGCATACACGCACATTCGTGCATGTATGCAATATCTCATACAGGAAAGGAACGAACGAGTAAATAAATGTGTTAAAAGATGGGAGATGAAAAAGAAAAAAGGACAAAGGCTAGCTACTTACTGATGGAAAGTTCACGGTTACACAAGTCGTTCCAGTCCACCATTGTGATATCCGTTTTTCGCCTGCCAGCCCACCGACCGGAGCTCCCTGATACGCCACCCAATCAATCGTGACGTTTGCGCTCGATTCTCGCTCATTGAAACCTGCTGCCATGACACAAGGGGTGAATCTATCGTAATTGGTGTTCTCAACCCATGACACTGCTGCATCGTGTACTTACGACTTGTCACTGGTGTCAATGTGATTGACAGTGATCTGAACTTCAATGGGTTTGTCAGGATAGAACACGTAAGGTTTCAGATGGATCACTACACAGTGAGAATATCCCAGTGTTGGAATGTGAGGCATGTGTTGGCGACCGCGCTGGAATGGAAAAGCTGAAAGAAAAAAGGGAGAGAGAGAGAAAGAGAGAGAGAGCACCGTATTGCTTCTTGATTCTCTTTGCTTTAATGCGATGTCACTTAATAAGCATTTTTAAGCAAAATATAGGTTTAGATCACATATGAAGCACGACAAATTCAACAGTTTCATTGAAAACTTGAAGAAATATATGGTATTTTAGACTCTGAGAATGCAATCATGCAATAGTGCTATTTTCGCTCAAGTTGCCACATATCGTTCGGCAACGCGTCAAATGAACCATGTCTTTTGTTCCGTTCAACTCAAGAGTATTCCTAAATTTCACTGATAAATTTACGAGCAGGTAACAACTTTTTGAATTTTCAGCAACTTTGGATTTTTAGCAACTTTTTTAGCAGTCAAGTGAAAAATTTTTCCATGATTTTTTACGAGCACAATCTGGTCGGTCGGTCCGTCAGTCCACCAGTCCGTCATGATCAGTCCGTTGGTCCGTCAGCCTGTCAGTCAGTCGGTTAGTCAGTTAGTCAGTTGGCCATACTAAACTGGATCAAGCCAAGCCAAGTCAAAACAGTCAGTCTGTCAGTGTTTTAGTCAGATGTCCATGTTTTGTAGCCCGACCATCATAACATATACTTTACATATATATTTCAAACATTTTCAGCCCAATAAAAGAGCTAAACCGTTGGAAACCCCTACCCTCACAACGACCTGGATGCTGCACGGTAAAATTACGCCTCAAAAGACACGTCTCTCGTTTGAACGAGCACTCGTTGCCGTACGTTGTGCCATTTGACGAACACACAGGCTCGAGGAGCGATGGACAGAGGTCTAAGCACACACAGCGAGCGTCATGCGGTCCAAAGGCCTTACACAGGCCATAGAATAAGCAGGTAACGTGCAGGCACGGATCCAAGTCTTCAAAAGAAAATAGAATACAATTATTTCTCAGGTACATTTGTTTTAGTAATGTACTATATTTGACAAGACATATTTAAACGTCGTCGAAAAAAAAAGAGTTTTCAAGCAGGACACAAATAATACGGCTTACTAAAAACGATCTTCAAATAATTTAAGAATATTCCGAAAAATTTCCAAATATACGAAAGTATGAAACTTTTTCCAAAATTTAGAGTAGCTACGCCTTTTTGTGAAAGTGAAACGACGAAAAAAAATACAATTAAACAACAAATAGCTACCAACACGAAACAGAAAAGGGTAAATTATTTATTTCCAATAACAAGAAGGTCCAGAGGGGAAAAAATGGACAAATTCTGACTATGTTTAAGATGACAAATCAATTATTTGATGTTAGTTTCGACTCGAGTCCTGCTTATATCGAAGCTATTGTATCTTCTCCTGGAATCGTTTAATAACATCAATTTCCGAGAAAAAAATTACTTGTCTCATTCAAAAAACCAAACTACTTTCAAAATTTAATCCACAAAATTGGGCAAATTCTGGCGATTACAGATGTATGTTTACCTCAAAATCGCAAAATGAATGTGTCGCCGAAAATAAAATGCATCATGGCACTCACCTCCTACGACAACATAATCAACTGAAGTGGCGCTGTTACTTTCCTCTTTGCCCTGGTATTTTCTTACACAAACCTTCGTATCTTTCCTTGAGGTGAACTGTAGTCAAGAGGAAAATATATTTTGCCGTCGAGTTAATTACTTTAACGACCAAAAATAAACGTAAATAACAATAATGGAAACAACAAGAAGCTGGAAGACGTCAAGAGCAAACGTTTGATCCTCATCGATTTGTTAAAAAATGAAAACACTGCATTCCGATTTTAAATGTTTCATATTCTAAAATTATAAAGACAAAATGCGCTTTTTGAAAAGAGGTCAATTGCGATGCCATGGTGCACATTGTTTGCGTTCAAAAATTGTTAATTGATATAGAAATTAAGAGATATCAACTAGCACTTTACTAACTCCGCCAAAGAGCCGATAGAAATATCTTGTTCGTTCCAATTCACACCCATTACACATACTGTCTACCGAGGACAATCCTTTAAAATGTTCTAAAACAGCTATAACACTGGAATCTTACCTCCACCCAAGCTGTAATGGCACTGCATTGAGGGGGAAGAGCGTCCGAGAGGTTATTGATGTAGCCCTGCTTTGGTGTCACTACCACAACAGGGGGAGCATAAAACGGATCGGTGAAGTTTATACTCTGAAATATGAAGAAAAACGAATGACATAAGTTGCTGAAAAATACTCTTTGAATTCGCAAGAATAGTATTACGTTACCACCACCGCCATCCCCCTGCACAACAACCGCGGGAACCACATTACCTTGGCCCATTTAATATTATTTTATCTCATTTAAAATTCGTCAAAGAATTACTTTCTTCGATGAAGGTCGTTTTACACTTACTAATCTATCCCCTTTTTTATTTGGAATCTGTATCGAATTAAAAAAAAAAAAAACGGTTGATATCAATTAAATGACTAAGCTACACATATCATAAGTTTAAACCTGACCTGACAGTACGCATGTTTACTGCGATGGGATTTTGAGCTTGCATTGTTCAGCATTACAGTTTTGGTTAAAGTGAAGTTTCCAACCTTTAGAGTTGTAAATGCCATCCAGTTCTGTAAAATGAAATGGCTAATAATTGATAAATAGGTTGAAAAAATTTTAAAAATGCATCAATTTATTCATTGATTTATTGCTCATCGGTCAGTTAGTCATTAACTCATTAACTCCGTCCGTCTGTTATTCAGTCAGTTAGTGATACGAATTGCTAATCACTCATTAAGGAGCTAGTCAGTAAGCCAGTCAGCGAGTGAGTTATGTTATTCAATCACTCAATTGAATTGGTCAGCCAGTCAGTAGGTCAGTCAATCCTTCTGTCAGTCAATAAGTCAGTGAGTTGAACAACAGTCAGCCAGTCACTCAGTCGGCCTATCTGTCAATCAAAAGTTTTTCAGTCACCTAATTAATCAGTTGATCAGTCATTCAATATGTCAATCAGACTGTCGGTCCGTTAATTAGACGGCTAGAAGATTATCTCGATTAGTCATGAGTGTTACAGCCAATCATTCTTTCAGAGAATAAACTGATATGATGACTGGATAATGACAAAAGGTAGCTTATTAGAATGGTAAGAGCACATAAATAAATTATCGAATACTGAGGTTGAAATAATTCCCTTACCATTCGGATATCTTTGTGTAATCCATCAAGAATCTTTGTCTCCCTGAAACAAACTTTAAAATTGTCCTTATTCAAGTCTTTTACCCAAATAGCCATAGCATCTTGTGGTCTCTTCAGAATCTCATGGCAGGCAGATACTAAAACAGTCGGTGAAGTCTTAAAGCACTAAAAGAAACACAAACAAAAAAAGAGGAAAGAAATTGAATAGTTTACGAAGTAAGTTTGAAGCAAAATTGACAGATAAAAACTCTATCGAGGACAGTTAAATGGTCTACTGATAATGCCATGTCAGTGTTAGCATCGGAACTACAAGCAATAATTCTACACGCTTTTTGGCTTAACTTCTATCGGAAATTATGTTTTTCCCTTTGTCAGACGCTTGAAACAAAAGGAAATAAAAACTCTCTTGAATCGAACCTTTTCAAAGTTGATAGTAATACACTCGGTTCCGGTAGTCCATGGATCCAACGCCACAATTCCTAGCTGAGATCCAAGAGGTGTAGATTTCAAAGCAATCCAGTTCACTTCAGCAGAACCTTTTGAACCTTCCCCATACTCCAACACACAGACTGTGAACCCACCAGTAGAAACAGACTCCACCCAGACTGCTGCACCAAACCGATGTGTTGGACTTTTTACAGTATGTCCAAATGAAGCGAATACCTTGACTTGCTGCCCATCAGAGAAAGGACGTTGGAAGGAAATTTTCTTACAGCCAGACAGGCCCGGTGTCAAAATCGTTACATTGTCTTTCCCTGCCTTTATGATCCGTGCTGTCAAAAGAAAGATGGCATGATATTTTTTTGCTATTTGCTTCATCCAAATTTCGTAACGGCTGTAAGATGCATAAATTGTTGATGCAACATCCCTATCATAATTTTCGAAAAGTGAATATTCAAGCGTCACCTCAAGAGGAAAAAGTCAAGCCAGCTTGTGATTAGCCAGCTTTCACCAGCTGTAATTAGCGCTTTTCTATAAAGTGTTTATCCAACAGCCTGCCATGGTAAGGCGTTTTTGTTGCTGTGTTTCTTAGATGTTTCTTAGCATCCATGGTCTGGAATTTCCCTATATCTTCCCTTGTTGATGTCTTTCAAAAATGGAGTCTTCTAACCTAGTTTATAACAAAAAAGGTCACGGATTCTGACACTTCGCTTCCTTTCAAAGTGGGATTTGTCTGGTGTTTTGGACATGCTTCGGGGTGATGTTATCTGAATTTGCTGATGAAAACCCGCCAGTCACAGCCGAGGATAACGCTTTATGAGGTAACGCACAACAGTACCTGTGTAGCGAAAGCAGTATGAATGATTAAGATCCCTATCGCAAAACGTTCTCAAATGTGCATGAATGCATTAGCACGGTGAACCTGAAAAATTGCTGTAAGATTAACCATAATTTTTCGGCTTATGAATAACTGATTTAAAAAACATTGTTGAAGACAGCGGGAAATCGAGGTGGACACAGTTCAGTTTCAGAGAGGGTTTTCCGAAGTTCTATACTCGAAAGTCCTTTAGTAAACAGTAAAAATAACATCTTCAATTTCTGTCTGTTGGATTTTATCCAGTAACTCCTCTCCTCGTTAAAGGAGTGAAGTGGTAAATTTTAAGACTAAAAGGACCGCACTCCTATTCATGTGAACTTTGTCCCGCATATTTCATGTTTTTTTTTCCTTGAAATTTTCCTTGAAAATTCTGATTTAAGGAAATAACGTGTTTTGAAAGAATCATCCGCTGATGGCAAAGATAGAGAACAATAGATATTCAAAACCAGTTCCGGTGACGCAAAGGGGAAACAGTTACCCAACTGTTTTAAACTTTTCGATGTATCGCAGCACACAGTGACGCTGTTCCTTAAAAACCACTTTTTTTACTTCGGTTGATTAAAATGGGACTCTTAAAAATTATATCTGTTGTTAACACCAACTATGAAAGCTTTCTGTATGTAACCAAAAGGCGGGGTTAACTTAATTGCCTTAGCAAGAATTGTGGTATCATTCTCGAAAAGTATTCAAGAAAGTTGTACACGACCTATGATTTATCTTTCCATGTGCATGTAAAAAGAAAATATTATCGTTACTCTAAAAGAATTGGATTTCTGATCCAAAAGTTTTTTCCTAGATTAAATGTGCGGTTCAATCAGCAATTGACAGAGTCCAAGAGTTTTCTTGAAGAACACAAAAAATGAACTGTCGAGAAAAGCAACAAATGAATCCAGTTGAAGCTTACAGCTTTAACAACTATCATTTCAAATAAAGGATTTATTTGATTGATTGATTGAGTTGAAAAACTAAACTCCAATGGTTTGATCGACGGACT